CGCATTCGAAATGATCATCATACTGAGCTACTCTATCTCAGTACCGCAGCAATCATATGATCAAATCGCCGTTCACACACATTTCAATTAGTATTGGAGAGAATTCAGAAGACAGCAAAATTTGAGACTTAATATACTCACATTTCAAGATTTTTGTTTGGTCTTCGCACATTTTCCCATCATTTTGCTCACATGCATTCCCCACCTCACCGAATCTGACTTGCACATCCGTACTGGCAACTTTCATCACAAGGATGGCATTGTATAGCCACCCTATTGGTCTTCGTCCATTCAGGAATTTTGAAAGATTCTTTGTAGTTTGCGGTCCAAGTTTTCGACTTCTCCTCTAGCAAAGGGAACAAAGATCAACATTAAATGCTGACTCACTTGGATGGCAAACAGGGTAGGAAGTGGTGGAATACAAACAAGAACACAACCTCACCCCAAGATGATTCCAATGCTTGCCATCGAGCGGGGCAATGCTAGTGGAAATTTTCGATAGAACGAGGAAAGAGTAGGAGTATTGAATAAGAAAGGTGTGATGCCGCTGTTTCGGAAACTCGGGTCTTAAGGAAAAATGCAATTTTGCCTATAGTATGATCACAGGCGCGATAAAATTATATATCGGATTCACGTGATCGAGAGGGTGTGTGACGTAGCGTGACTACGTGATGGCGTTTGTTTACATGTGAAAAAATTTTATCCTTGTCATTCGTTCTACACTACTCTGAAGGCTTCTCCAAGTTTCTCATTTCAAACGATTACACCCCGCATATTAATTTGTTGTTTTCGCTTTGCAAAAAAACTGTAATCACCACAGTTAAAGAATCACCGATAACTTCAACCCAACTCGTCAAGAAGCAAAAACAGGAAATCACGCGAATGGAAGCAAGTAAGTCATTATTTGATTCGCGAGGGCGTTATTTTCTTCCTTTGCTGCTGGGCAATAACCCTCCATTCGTTGGAGTGCAATAACCCTCCATTCGTTGGAGTGCAATAATTCTCTTCTCACAATGTTCTATCCTACAGAGAATACATCTTCCCCTCCAGTCTATCGCAAGTTCTTATGCTGTGGGAAACCAGAGCAATCAGTATTGATTGGAGGGGATATTTGTGGCTTCAGTTATACCCAGCTTGAAAAATGGCTAAAACCATTTAGTCCAGTTCCCTTTCGACATATTGTGAAGAAGCTGCAAAATGGGTAAGTGGAGGTTAGTAGCTTTGAAATCTGTTAGAATGTTCTCACTTATGGTCATGCTGGTGAATTTTTAGATATGGCCATCTTCATTTCGATACACAGATGGAAGCTGCTCAGTTCTACCATGAAATGAATGGGAGGCTATTTGATGCACCGGAGGGTAGGGATGGCAATGTAAAGTTTTCTCATGCCCTATACTTCAATTCTAAAAGACCAGTGGAGTATGGGAAGGTAAGTGCTTTAAACAGACTCTGCTGCACATTACTCAATACTCGTTCTCATATTTCACTTGGAACCTGAAGGCATTGGGTGTTGCCACAACTAAAAGAGAAAGAGCGACAATGACGTCCCTGGTAAACTGCTTTTGTTATATCATTATAAGCGCTATATTTGAGTCAAGCTTATATTGCTAAAACCCCCCTCTTTCACCCTCAGATGGCAGAGGAGGTGACTAGCAACTCACCAAAACGGCTGCGAGACAGCAAGGAATCTGCCACACGCGAACTTGGTGAAGACAGTGTTGTACCTCAGTTGGGAACCTGTCTCAGTTCTGAACTGAGACAACTGAGTTTTGGACTGAGTGTCTGGGTTCTGGACTGAGACAACTGAGTTCTGGACTGAGTGACTGGGTTCTGAACTGAGACAGGTCCTGAACTCAGACACAACATATACAAGACTTTTTTATCACATGACGGATCGTATTGAGTTGTCTAAAAAATGATCTACAAATTACATGATTGTCCACCTATCTTTGTGATATAACTGTTGTACCTCAGTTGGGAACCTGTCTCAGTTCTGGACTGAGATAACTGAGTTCTGGACTAAGTGTCTGGGTTCTAGACTGAGACAACTGAGTTCTGGACTGAGTGACTGGGTTCTGAACTGAGACAGGTCCTGAACTCAGACACAACATAACCACGAACTGCAATATAATATGGGCATGCTGCGACAAAACCAGACAAAGTGAACATTTGACACTATTACTATGTGACATAAATGAGAGGCTGATTATGATGTGGCTGTAAAATTGACGTGCATGACTGATGACATTTTGAAAAGTAACGATGGCGCTCATTCATAACTTATAGATTAAAGTTCATTTTATTATACCAGAATGTGATAAATATAAACCATAACAGGATTAATATAGGATTATCTCTGTATTAGTATAATATTATTGTTACACCTAGTGCAATAATATGTGGGAGGCTGAAAAGTTTTGTCACCAGGGTTGGATTTCAACAATCAACTGACTTATGCAAAAATAGAACTTATCAATTGTTCCGCAAACGTTTCGAAGAATGAATGAAAAAAAATAACAAAAATTATTTCGTTATTCTCAAGAAATTATTTTTTGAAAATTCTATACCACAACAATCGGTATGATAATAAAATTATGTTTGTTTGTTTGAGTGCAATGTGATCAAATATACTAATACGATTAGTGGCTTAATCAATGACGTATTATTGGGACCTTTTCACAATGTAACTGTCTCTATTGTTATTGTTTCCCTATGTATAGTGTGACTCATGATAATTGACGCGCAGAAATTGCATTTGTATTAATGTGACGGATAAATGAACACTCATATTTATTATTATAATTACTATTGTAAGATGTATACAAGTGAAACTTGATAAGCCGAAGGTGGGGGGAAGGGACAATTTATTCGGCTTATCGAGATTTTCGTTTTATCAAATTTCGCAATAAGC